ACACACACACACACACACGGCAGTGCACAGGTTAAAGACACTGTATTTATCCTGTGATGTGATAGGTTGAGGGGGCGGGACTTCCGACAGCGCAGGTTGGACATAAAGTGACAGACTTCACCTCCTTAAAATTGGAAGAAAAACCGAAGGACGACGCGATACAAGTTTTAAAACAGTAAGAAACCAACATGAGACAAAGAGGTGTTTAATAGTTTGTCGATAAACTGAGGTAGAGTCACGTTTACGGACATTTTTAGCCACACAGCGCGATAATGTTGTACCGCTGAAAGCAGCTAGCCGGCCAGCAGAGTCCTGCCTGTAGTTTGGGAAATGTGATGCTGCGTTAAGGGCAGGCTCGTAAATGGGTACATCGGAGAATTTAACACACAATAAATGAAAATATGAGGTTACATATTTGTTTACATCATTGGGACACATTACTAGTTATAACCCTAACTATTTTATTCAGTCACAGACTAATTGTTCCGGAGCTTGGTTTCATCACCACTTTGTAAACACGAGCCCATCATTTACTTTCACATTTCAACTTTTAAGAGGAACAGACAACATTTTACTGGCTTTCTATAACAAAGCTATTAATACTAGGCGGGGGGCTCCGTGTTTTAGTGTAATGACCCACAGCTGAGCCAGCGGAAATAAAAACAATCCCCACAGTGAAGTAGTTGTGTACTGAGTTATGACTTCACATGGAAAAACCAAACCTGTGCGTTCACCTGATTCGCCCTGGCTTTGATTGCATAACCTGACACAGGAAAAAGCATAATAAATGACATTCAGTCCACCAGTCCAAGGCTTTATCGATCAGTTGATTTCTAGAAATATATGACTATATTGTATTTTAATAATAGATTCATCGTTGAAGTCATTTATTAAGCCAGTCATTTCTTTAGCTCCTGTGTTTGAAGTTACAGATTTACTGTTTTTATTTGACTCTTTCATCATTTCATCTTTCTTTCTATTGGATTCTCTAGTTAACTGAAAATTCAGGTTTTGAAGCGCTGGACTGACATTTAATAGACTAAATGATTCATTGAGATAATAATTAGCAGATGAACCATTAATAGTGCTTGCACCATATCCCAATGAGGCACTGAGTTCAGTATTAGGTATTAATCAGAATTAAGTTAGCAGTATTTCAGGTAGAGAAATAACAGAAACTCATCACTGCGTCTGGGTGTCGTTCACACACGGCATTAACAGAAGAGCCAGTCTATACTTGAGTCAGTCACAGTTCACATCGGGTGGAAGACACCCAAAGGGACACACCTGACCATCACAGGACTAACACAAATAGGGGACTCACGTTCATGCCTGTTGGCAGTGTACAGTCACTGTCCAGGCCTTTGCTTGTCTTTGGAATGTGGGATTAAACGTAAATGGAAAAACACAAACACGCCAACTCCTCACGGGAAGGGTTTGGCCTAAGGTTCAAAGCCAGGTCCTTCTTGTTGGCAGGCAACAGTTGTAATCATGTTGTGGTCAAAGATGTTTGCAGTGTTTTTTAAGGAGGCCCTGTGCTGTTGCTGCAGTATCTGTTATCTGTAGGCTTTTATGGCCATTGACTAATCAAACATTGGAGTCATTTGTTTGACTTGTCTTAAACAATCATCAAGCACAGATTATATGCATAAATAAATAGAATAAAAATAGCCCTTTATCTTAAGATAAGTATGTAATGTTAGTAGTTTTTTATGTTTTCTAAAGCAGTAATAAATCTTATTATGTTTCCCTGTGTGCTAGATTGTAATGATTTTCAGACATGGACGACATAAACCTTCATTATCGCTTTCTAAACTGGAGGAGGCGCATTCGAGAAATTCGTGAAGTGCGAGCAGTGCGATATCGGGAGCGGCTCAAAAGGATGCTGAGAGATGGAGACATACTCAGGTAACAGTGATGAGCAGTGCCACCAGTCTGAACTGGAGACGCAGACTTGTTGTGTGGTTTTGTCCCTCATTATATGACAGAGCGCTTCCTTCGCCTGCTGAATAGGCACTCCACTTTGGCAGAGGCGGTGATTATTGTAATATTTTGTCTTTCTTTTTTGGATCTTTGTAGGTATCATGGGAATTCAGATGAAGTTGGTTGTTTTGTTGCGGCCAGACCGTTGTCGAGAAGAAATCGCTATTATGAAGTAAGAGTGGATAATGTCCTTTCAGTCTATGATTATTAATACGACACTGGAGAATTACACAGAAAATCACGTGTATATATATATATAGTTATATAGTGGCTTGATTCATGATTCATGATAACAATAATTGTGTATTTTGTGTCCTTATGAGTATAGTGTTATATTCACTGATGAACCCAAATGACCTGAGCTGGGTGGTTTTATATACCAGGTGGAACCTGCGTTATTGCTGATTAACTGCCAGTGTAATTGTCAGTTCATGAGTCCAACAAGTCTGTCATTCTCACCAGTTATATTATATTATATTCTGTATTTGACTGCACAGCTGTCTTATTTTGACAGTCCAGGCCACTTTTGATGGCTCTCAATTCTTGTATGTCCTTTATCAAACATACATTTTTACTTCAAAAGAATGTGATGTGATAAAACAGCCCAATGGCTCAGAATTGCTTTTAAGTCACTTTGTTCCAATTTAATATAAAAGTGAAAAGTTCTGGGAATTAATCAAGAGCAGATAAGCTGTGCATACATAAGTCTATACTACTATATTACTATGTAAATGTAGCCACACTACATGCTAATTTTAACAGGGGTTAATGTCTGTAGTCTATAATGCAGAGCTGTAAGTAACTAAAACCATTTTCAACCACAAGGCATCATTGTTAATATTTCAGCTTATAAGTGAATAAATATAATATTTTTATTTGATAAAAAACAGTCTAAAGTATATTTGAAACTGTCAGCAGTTAATAGTGATAGTAGTGATAAAGTACATTCATAGATTGTGATGATAGTGTTAACTTTGTAGCACTAGTATTTATTATGGATTTAAGACAATGTCCTTGTTCTGTTGATGAGAGGAGACATGGCAGGCCATTGTGTCTGACTGCTCGCCTTCATCTGTTGTTGAGCCATAAAAGAAATCTTGACATTTCCTGGGAACAGCACTTATCTGAGATCTTTCAGCTTGGAAATAGATTTGTTGAATGACTTGGCAGCTAGTTTTACATTGTGTAATGGGACTGGACGTAAAGTCATTGCTGATGTGCCAGAATGATTTAGACCAAAGTCAGAAGTGCTGTCAGCACAAGTAATAGAAATAATACTTTTTATTTTTAATTTTTTTATATTTAAACAGATTAACTTCAGTTTGCACCTTTTCAGCTTTGATGTCGGGGTTGAGTTAAGAAGTTAGGGTTAAGAAAATAGGTCCCAATGTCTTTTGATTGTATCACTTCTTTTGTCAAGCCTTGTGGTTAAGAGGACACACCAATATATTTTTGTATCAAATGAGAAATAGGAAGAGGTTTAGTCCAGAAACTCAGTAAATGTCAGGGTCACACACATTCACGCTGTTAACACTGATCTCATACAGGGACTTTCTTATCTCCACTGGTTTCACATAGCCAAATAAATCGCAAGTCATTACATATCATGGTTTGTTTATTTCACTGCTCTTGGTTATTTAGGCACCATATTGCAAAAACATCTGAAGACAGTGACTGTTTCTCAGATGTTTCTCATGTTCAAACTTGTCTAACAAACACATCCTGTCCCGGTCTGACGTGTAAGTGAAACAGTAACTAACCCTCTCAACCTTTATACTTACGTGTGTTTCATTATTGTGACTCACTTTGTGGGAGTCACGTAGGAGGAGGGAGGAAGCCATTTGCGTACATGGGCATACAGTATGAGTTAATAAATAATAGTAAAGTGGATGCTGATTGTGGATCTTCGGGTTCATCTGCATGTTTTACACTGACACAGAAAATAAGGACGTATTACTTCTCACTCTCTGGAGACCGGCGTTGAGGTCATGGGAAAGAACTTAAAAGTTTCCTCTTCTACTTGCCCTGGATTTGCCAGCAGTGCTCCGATTGCAGTGTGTCCATGTAGGGCTCCCTAGGGATGATGTCATACGCTCAGTATTCAGTTATGATAACATTTGTGAAGGCCAGCTCTTTACTTATGGGTTTTTACTTTGAACCAACATGCAACGTTGAACAAAGAGATACTATGTAGTTTCAGGTTGGTTTGGAAAGTGAAAAGAGAAGCAGTGTCAACCCAAAAGCAAAATCTAACATCAAGTAAAAATCTGTTGCTTTTCTGGAAAAGCAACCTGCAGCGCTCAAGTGGGCTTCTTCAAGTTTTATGTAACTTTGTGTGATTTTCCCACCATAAAGTCTGTAAAGCTTTAACTAGGAGGTAGACTGCGGTTCACCACTTTGAAATATTTCAACAACTATTAGATGGATTGCCATGAAATTTCGTGCAGACATTCACAGTCTGCAGAGAATGAATCCCTCTGATTTGGTGATCCTCTGACAGCACCAGCATCAAAAGTTTTCCAATCATTTTTGTCCAATACTGATTCTGATTATGACTAAATTCCTGCAAAACTAAAGACATTCCCATCAGCTTTACTGTGCTAATTAGTAAATATTAGCACGCTAACATGCTAAACTGCTGATGGTAAACAAACCTGCTATTTCTCAGTATGGTAGCGTTGTCTTTGTGAATGTGTTGCCTGGCTAGCATTAGCATTTGGCTCAAAGCATCACTGTCTAATTACAGCTTCACAGAGCAGCTAGTAGGGCTGTAGACTCTTTGTGGTCTTTTTTTTAAATTGAAATATAAAGTAGTCTTGGCTTTAAAAACATGGTTACTTTGCTTGCTTAAAACCAATTTCTTGGTGAACATAACACATTATTTAATTTATCTCAGTGGCTGAATCACCCTTGACAACAACCACCAAAATAAGATAAAAGCAAAAGCAATTCTGATAAAATCCACCTCCTCTTTCTCTGTCTCAACATCGTTTGTTCTGCTAATGCTGTCTCTGTATAAAAGCCTCCCACACATGATGTAATGAGTAGTTCATGAGTTGTGGCGCTGGATGGTAAAGTCTTTTAAATTCAAGGTCTGTGTCCTGAGATGTATCAGAGGAAAAAAAAAGTATTATTAATCAGAAACTTAAATATCGAAAGCTACTGGCTTTGTTTTGATGCTTACGCCTCTGAATATTAATGACAGTCTTCCAATTGAAATGACCACAGTTTAAGACATTCTTCATTGTGTCTCAGCGATAATTGAACCTGTGCTCTTTGCAGGTGACCATCATCGATACAGGAGTGAGGGGAATGATTGCTGTTGGTTTGGTTCCTCAGTCCTATAAGCTGGACCATCAGCCGGGCTGGCTCCCACAGTCTGTGGCTTTTCATGCTGATGATGGCAAGTATGTAACATTGATCATTTTCTTTACATATACTATAAATCGAACATGTTTTAATAATACATCATATATAATCGCAGCAAAGAGAGCTCCCTTCTGAATGCGCTTAATGTCTGTTACTTGAGATTAATTTGGGGACGTCCTGACTGAGAAAATTTGCATGTTTCATGTTTCATGTTGCTACTTATAGCAACAGCTTTGTCAGTCAGTGAGTAATATTTCTTTTTGGGGAACTGGAGGAAGGTTAGAGAAGCTACACATTTATGTCGCACTGTTCCTTGAGAGTAAAACAAACACCAGGATTTATTTTACACGTTTTACCTAGCCAAAGTACAATGTTTCCCTTAAAAAAGTTAAACCAACAGAACACAAGCTCTGCTGGCTCCATCACAGCGAGGTTTTAAAAGTGTAACGCCTTTATTAGAGCTTGGACCGTAGAGAGATGATGAAATGATATGAGTAGAGAGATGATGAAATGATGGGATAGAGAGATCAGGCCTGAAAAAAGTGGATTTGAGGATATATTCTAGATCACAGAGTAATATAAAAATCCAGGTGAAAATACAGTATGTTGTGTAAATATTTACAATATAATTTATTATTTACTTAGAGGGAAATAACACAAATGAGCTTCTGATTAGGAACCATTTTCTGTTACTGGTGTCTTTTTGAGTCTCTCTCTATCAGCAAAATTTAAAACTGATGAGCTTTGATGATCAGCCATTGAATCTCTCGTACTTGTCTTTCCACAGGCTGTATAATGGCAACACTGTAGGACAGCAGTTTGGTCCAAAATGCTGCAGAGGTGATAGAATCGGCTGTGGAATATCCCTGGACTCAGATGATGGACAGTTAACGGTGTTTTTTACCAAGAATGGCAAGGAAGTAAGTGCCCCATTACCATCATATTACATGACCTTTGACAGAATGTATTCAAGCAGCACAATTTTACAAGTGAATTTATTCATAGTTCCCAGCTACTTTTACTTTTTACTAAACAATTCTGTGTGTGAATGTGTGCTCAGGTCGGCAGTGTTGAAATCCCAGCATCTCCTGATGCTCTCTACCCTGCTGTGGGAATGCACTCTCTGGGGGAAGAAGTGCTTCTGGACCTGAACGCTGAATGGGGGATGGAGGAGGATGATGGACAGATGATCGTGGATAGTCATGAAGAGGACTGGAGCCGTCTCCATGACGTCAAGGTGACTGGCACGGTAAGTGCTGTTGCAAAATGAAGTTAAAAGAAAACAAAATACTGTTAAATTTTTACTGATTCTACTTTGAGAAGGCCAGGCAGTTAAAGTTAACATCAAAAAGTGACAGGTTGTCTCCCCGGTAAATGTTAATACTGTGTAATGATTCAGCAGGAGGATAAGGCAGAGTGCGTACACCAGATTATTGGTCTGGAATACATCAGAAAGCTTTAATTAAAGTTGGCTACTAACTGATGTTTGAAGCTCGACTCCTTATCCACATTTCAAAGGTTGTTTGTCCTTCATCACTCATATTCTAAGTACTGATCATACTGTAAAAAATAAATATATACATACTTACTATCCCAAACTCTTTAAGAGGTTTATTCATCAAAGTCAAAGTTGTTTACAAGTCTTGAGTACTTCTGAATATGTGAAAAAAAGTTGTATAAAGCCGTTGGTGGCTCCATGGGGACCTGTGTGAGTTTGAAAATGAAAATAATCTGGTGGCATAGAGTTTGAAAGAAGTGAGTTTACCTCTAGTATAAGTAGTAGCCCACTCCTCATCTCTGCTGGAGGCTCAAGGCTACATTAGCCGCTACTAGCATAACACACTTAAATCTCCAACCTAACTGTTGGCGGTTAGAGTTGCATTGTGGGTAATGTACGGGCCAGGTTTTGACAAGGAAGAAGAATGCATAGGATAATCTATGCTATATATTTTTAGCTTTTTCTTTGAGCTGTCTATTGTGAATCTGACAGTGTTACAGGAGTGCAATGTGAAATCAGTGGAGAACTCTTCTAACAAAGAGTGTGCGAAGAACCCTAACCCATCCCTAACCCGAGCCTTGTATATTCTGGCCAACAAGACCTGACACATACAGACACTTACCAAGTCTAACTCCACCTTCACAGTTGGCTGTATTCAAACTGTTGAACTGATTAAATGCAACAGGAATTTATGGAAAAGTAAAATAAGTAATCTGCACTCACTGACCCAAAATGGAATTAGTGGATCTGTGTCAAATCCAAAATAACAAAAAATCCCTTTTTAAGGCAAAGTGCAAACTTTTCGATTCTTAGTCCTAGATAAAATCTCAGAGTAAATATTAGCTTTTGCTAAATACCCAGTAAGAAGAGATAACATGAAATAAACAAAATTTTCTCTAAAGTGCTCCTTGACCTCCTCTCCTACTGGTAGAGTCTCCACCCGTCTCTGTGACGGCAGGGCTGCTGTGTTTGTGTCTGACTCAGCCGATGATACGCACAAAACCGGAATTGAAAACAGTGGGAGGGGATCACAGCTGAATAGCCCTGAAGCAGGTCGGGAGCGAGTAACCTTTATGCCACCCGCACATTCAATCATCCTTTATTTCTACAAAATTTGGCCCTGTATGAATACATCAATGACACGAGAGCTGTCAGGACAGAAAAACATGTCTGTAAAAAAATCAAGAGGGGTGCTTTTGTGGGATTTGTCATTGTTATATTGAAGTCTTTTCACAACTTCCAACTATTCTGCATCCAGGTGTCTGGATTTCTTTCTCATATTTGCGCCTCATTTGCAATATCTCTCAATTTGTCCAAAATGCTATGTCCTATCATTAAAAGGCAATAAAAGGCCCCAAAAAAATATAATATACTTTAAAAATGTTGACATATGCAGGTGTGTTAAACACTGTTTATTAAGATACACAACATCCAATATTGCCTATAAATCAACTGAAACTGGCACAACTGTTTAGAGATTAGTGAGTGATTTACTATCAGCTTTCATCCAAAAGGAGGACAGCCGCAGTTACAACACTGGAGCGGCTGTTTACTTCTTGAGGTTGTGCTTACATAATGAAAAAAAAGGAAGAGAAGGAGGTTATTAGGAAAACACCAGGAATGAATCAGTCTGTAAATGCTGATAAATGAGACTTCAAATGTATTTTATTTATTTAAATGGGTGCGTGTACAACGTAAGATTAGCCGGAAAACCAGCATCATGTTGTTATTGGTGCCGAAGTTACAGTGTTTTGAGTTTAATGAGATCACACATTTCAAACACTTGTTAAATCTCATCCAACCCGCTGTTTGTTGATGAAAGAAGAGTTAATTTAACCGGGTAAATTGGCAACCTTGTGAGTAATGAGATGTTGGGCCTAGACACTTGTGGAGTATGGAAGTCTTTTGTTTTCATTGAGGTAGTTATGTTCTGATGGTTGTACGTGGTTTTGACATTTATGAAGGTCACTCTGGAAAAGAGTTCAGCTTTGGCGGTGTTGATTTCCACTGCTGGATGTAGTAAACAGTTATGTTATCTCTGTTGCCGTAGCTTTGCTTTTTAGTACCCAAACAGTACAGTGCAGGAATGACGAATCCAAAACCTGTCCTATTTTTCCAGGAAAGAAAGAGTTTTTTTTTTTCATCTCATCATCTAACATCCCTAATAGAATAATGTGTGAATAAAACATGTCCTCTACTCCTTTTCAACTCATGTCTCTACCAACCTGAGAATGGAGCAGCAGTCAGGCCAGTGCAAAATCAGACATACTCTCAGTAGCAGGTGAACAACCTGTTTGATTAGATAGGTAGTGTTAATGACACTAATGAGTGTGGGATTTAGATGTAAAAACATGTTTTTTAATGAATTTGCATGCAGAGGGTGATTGTTATCACTCCAAACACTGTTGTTTCAGAAAACAAACAAACAATGAAAGTAGTGCATTCTGCATTATGGCTTAAAGCCAGCATGTGTAGCCTCTGTGTCCACAAGTGACAATAAAAGGGATACTGTTATATTCTAAAATGATATGAAACAGTAACACAAGTAGTAAAGGCTCATTATGTCAGCTAACTTACTCAGTAATGTCAGCCACAATAGACCAGATAAGGCTGTAGAAGTGAAATCCCCTGAATTGAGCAGGGGTGTGGTTTTTTTTGGCCACTTGAAGGCAGCAGAACAAGCTGAACATTGAAATATTATCACCTTGAAAAGCTGTGGCAACACCTTTTAGCAGCAGCCACACCACAAATGTCAATCCAATAGTGAGTCTTCTTTTGGCTCTGTTGGTCTCGAACTACTGAGAGAAATATCTGTCTCTTTAATGCTTGATGCTCACCAGCTAGCTAGTTAACTACCTTTGTCTGTCTTCTGTTTGGTGCTTGGCATGTAGCGCACAGTCGGTTTATCATATCAGTTGTTTGGCTGAAAACAGATGCCTGAAAGGAGTTTGCAGACTAGAAAATAGAAACAATGTGCTAAAAGGCACATATTGATTGATCGATTGGTAATATAAAATATTGATAGGTGCAGCTTTAAATATATCTTAAATGAAGTGTTTAATCATTAAAGTAACTGAGGATCATAATTAACATTTCAGTTTGTTTAATCCCTTAAATTGACTTACTCCAAGCATATTTAAGTATTAAAACCAATGTACATAAAGTAATATTGTAAAAATGACTGTATAGGGTACAGCATGATACTGTTGCTCTTACTCATACTCAGATGCTGACAAATAATTAGAGACATGAATCCAGTCTCGGTGTTCAGTCGTAACCTGCATGTGTCTGCGTCATGTCCACAGCTGCTGGAGTACGTGGGTAAAGGGAAGAGCATCGTGGACGTGGGCTTGGCTCAGGCCCGTCGGCCTCTCAACACACGCTTCCACTACTATGAACTGGAGATCACAGATGCTGGAGAGAAATGTTACATCGCCCTGGGGCTGGCACGCAGGGTAAGAGGCTCCCCGTTTTAGTCATTGCCATAATGATCACACGTCAAAGTCACTGACACGCCGTTTTACTTACTGTACACACTCTGTGGTTATCTGTCGGTAAAGAAAACTTCTCCCCCCCCCCCCCCCCCC